GAGCCACCTACATTTTCTCCAGCCATATCAGCATCGTAAAACGAATTCTTGGATATCAATCGACGCAATTTTGGTCTGAATTCAATGTTAAAAGAGTCACTAAGTGACTTTGCAAAAGTTTGTTTGGGAAAGCTTAACACTACATTTGTATTCTTAGTTAAGGCCAATCGACAGATACTAGAGGGGCTCAAGCTATCTTTAAAAAAAATGACAAATCAGTGAACGCGATTCCGCGCACATGCCCATTGATAGGCTAATAAAGACTGACAGATGGCCTAAGCCATTTTTATATCTATCGATCGCCTGCGCACAGATCTTGATTTATAAACCAATGGAGTCTAGCTAAATCAACCAAAGCTGGATGATGAGCCATCGCATGCAAATATATTCTTATCCCTGCTTATTTGGTTGTAAATTGTCGCCATTTGAAAATACTGCTGACCTAGTTCAAGATTTTCTTTAATAACCAAACTAATATTTTGAGCCAGTCATCCATGATATATGAGACAAACCGTCTTAATGAAGATTGTCTGATTTTTCTGTTTCGCCTATAAATCACTTTTGCTAAATGAAATTTCTAAATAAAAGTTGTCATGATATTGAACTCACACAAAGCTCCCCATCTTTGGTCAGTATTTCTCATCTGTTTAATCAAGAAAAGTCAAATCGAGTTAACAAGCAAATTACTGAAACCTCTCTTGTTTTTATAGAATTAAACATAATCTTTGAATTCATATTATATAATGCTTCATTTCGCACGTGAATTCATCGCTGCATTCCCAATTAAAAACTACAAAAACCTGGAAGTTAGAAAAACGATACAGTGCCTGTATTTCCCCAAACTGTACTTCTTAAAAACATAATCAGGCTAGTTGTTATCCGCATGAACATCTGAAAGACTCAATTGCGTCAGTTCCTTGTTGTTTCTTCTCTTGCCCTGTGTGGAAACCATTGTTGCGTATAGCAACTAGCTATTCAGTTCTGATATCCCGATATTCATCCGTTTTTGTTACCGTCGTTCGTTCTCTGTTGCCTCTATGCCATCAACCTGAAGTTGCAAGTAGCTTGTTTCAATCGAGACTGACGAACAAGTTCTCGCTGCAAAGAACTTGCTCCAGAATATCTGTGGGCGTGACGATCCGTGTACTGCCGACGATCACCTACAAAGATGTGATCCGGGTATCAGAACTGATGAATGCACGGTGTTTATATAACTGGAGTGATTCGTGAAAAAAGCTGCAATTTAAATGGCGGCCAGGAATGGATATCCTTCTTTCTTTACATTTTAACGTAAAGGGTGCTATAATATTGTAGCAGAAAACAAATGAAGGGGCCCATGCTGAAAGCAACTTCTTGCTATCATCTCCTCCAAATCAGAAGGGCCTTAAGCATCAACCGACCATCTTCACATAATCTTAATATGTATATCGATATTTTTGGCTGGTGGACGGTTTTCTATTCTTGGTATTTTTAACATTGGCTTCCTAACTGTAGCATAGTGCGTAGTGCCTTAATATAGACAAAAATATCAATGATTGATGGATGTTTACTGCTTTTTTCCTGAAGCCGGCTAACAAGTTACTCACAACCCCTTTTCAAAGACACCATATCGACCATGTTTCACGCGCCTCGTGATATCAACAATCTTGCGACAACATTTCACGTAGTTAGTAGACATAAATCAGACGCAGACACACGAACGAACCTCAGCGGATGGCCTAAGCTTCTTCGCAATTTCTCGAATTTGACGAACTTCGTTAAATGTGATGCCACCAATTACAAAAACATACAGAGTTTTGTGATCATCTGGCCTCGGCTTGCTCACATTCATAAACAACCTACGGAAAGATGAATTGATTTTACGTAACAATCACCAGGCAAGACGAGGACACGATGGACACACCTGATATGCCCTTATCACCATTGGGTCTGGTTAAATGAAACATGGTTCTAGAGAGTAATTTCTATTGTTGCTGATTCGGATAAAGGTATCCCCAATAGATTTTGCGGGGACTTGGGGGAAAGCAGAAATGGGGCCTACATGACGACGCTCAGTTACTGCTGGAGATTGCCAAAAACGCTTTCCAAATTTGATTGCTGATTGCCAAACTCCTATTTGCTGGATTTGTCTCCCCAGCCACTGACCTCTCTAAAATGAGAGAATATTTGGCCTAATATCGCTACTAAATTCTGATGTGTAAATGAAAAGAGTCACCTGAATGCCTACTGACTTGCTCTATAACGGATTTAAGGAAAATACATCACCATTTCACTGAGGACTGCATTTGAAGGTGCAAGGAAGAAAACATGATATCTTACACGATTTGCGAATGGTCAGTGTGTTTTTTTCAGTAACATCTCTCAGGTTCACACGGTGCAGTATTCTGAACAAAGCAGAGTCCAAAAGGACTGGCTTCCTTCGACGTGATGAGATGCAGCAACAATGCATAGCGGAGAAAGAACAGCGGAGAAAGAACAGCGGAGAAAGAACAGCGGAGAAAGAACAGCGGAGAAAGAACAGCGGAGAAAGAACAGCGGAGAAAGAACAGCGGAGAAAGAACAGCGGAGAAAGAACAGCGGAGAAAGAACAGCGGAGAAAGAACAGCGGAGAAAGAACAGCGGAGAAAGAACAGCGGAGAAAGAACAGCGGAGAAAGAACAGCGGAGAAAGAACAGCTGATATGGGGGCTTCAATGCGAATGTGAAAGAGCAGTAACTGTAATGATTTATTCATGTAGGTGTGGGCTGCTATCACGTAAATACTTTGAAATATCAAAGAAAATGATACATACCCAAATCCAGTTTTTAAAAAATCTTTTAAACCATGCGATTTGAACTCGACATCAACCAACTCTGGTCGATCTGGATGATAAATTAACTGCATCAGCTGTGATAGCGCGGGCTTGTATTCGGCCTGCCCACCAGTGTTTTTGTCAAGAAGAGTTCTAAAAGATCATTATTTAATCGCAGGTTAATTATATCACAGTGTATGCTTCACACTGTGAATATTCAAATTGCGGATAATTTTTGCGTGAAGATGGAACGTCCTATACAGAAATGTTTGATAAACAAATATTTCCCTAAAATAACGAAATTTGGTTTGTTACAAATCCGTTCCTCAATGCAGCAACAAGCAGCAGCAAGAAAGTTTACTGAAAAATACCTGATTTGTCTTTGTTCATGTCGAGCTCTGCCAATTCCACGCAATCTCTCAAAGATATCAGCCACCTTTATTCGTACTTCTTTCTCACTCGGAGCATCATGACCTTGAAGAAGACAAAATTATTCCTTACTCCAGGATAAAGATGGAAAGTATATTGGTATTACAAAGAGCTTCATTCTGTGAGGTGTGATCTTGATGACATTCTTGGCATTTCCAACTTCTTTATGATGTAGAAAACATCAAAATTTCAGAAAAAACTGTCATGTTTATTCTGATTTCCGTGTAAGTTGTCACTTCTGGCAACCTTTGCCTCTACATCCCAACATCTTTTTTCTTCTGCAGAAAGCGTTTCGTTACCACTAAGAGTCAATACTGAATGAACACCCTTTGAAATTTTTGTTCTGGGACGCCTTCTTTTAAGAAAGTTTACCAAGAAAGCAGAGAAAGTTTACCAAGGAAAAAGCCTCCCCTCTTCTGTTTATTTAACTTTTTTAGGTTTCTTACCCAACATGTGCAAAGACAAAAACAACAAAGATGAAGCTATGAGAGATATCATAAAGACAACAACAAAATGATTGTTCTGTTCTGCGTTATCTCAAGCTTTTGGATATTAAGATACAATGGCAAGTGTCAGAATGAAAAACCAAAGCTACTTCTGAAGGAAAAGGTAATAATCCATGACTTTAACAATCTTGCATGCTGTAAAGGTTGCTTGATATCTATTGGTTTCTGGTCTGTTTATACAGAACCCTATTTTGGACCCTTTGCTTGTTCCCAATCCTCCGATTACTCCAACCATCCCCTTTTATTAGAGATTTGGAAGTTGTAGCAGTTTACAATGCCATACCGGTGGTAATATTTGATGTGATGCACAATCCATTTGAGCTAGATGGAAAACTAAATCAAACTGCGAATACATATTTTTAATGAAAGTCAACACTCACCAAGTATAAAAAGAAGATCGTCGTTGTGGTTTCCATCGAGAAGAATATTAGTTATCGCGTTCTAAATGAGAATAAGAAAACCATTATGGCAAATGATAAATGTGGCCAATCCTTTGGTTCTCTAGGATTCATAGTATCCGGTCTCAGAACAACGGGATTGTGAAAAGAATGAAAATTGATTTCTGTTGAGAAACCAGCACTAAGTCAGTTTATTTTTCAAACTTTTTGTATCTTGCCAATATTCGACACCCTTCAAAATGTAGAACCATCAAGTCTCTACTCCCTGCTATTTGAGAGGCTTTGAATCAAAGAGCACGAGGCTTCTTAACATTGGAAACTAGAGCCTTCCAGCATTTGCAACATGGGTTGTTTAAGGTTGTTAATAAAAATGTAGGAAGCAAAAGTTATTGAAGTCTAGCACAAACAGCCAACCTGTAAGAAAGAGTTACAACAGTTAAAGAATTGTTATCCGGACGATACATCTTAGTCTCTCGTAAAAATAACAAAAACTTCTAAAGACATTTCCTTCGGTTTTCTGGCAAATTAACGAACATTCTTTAACAAATTGCATACGCATAAACAGGCAAAAACACTTTTAGACTATTAAGATAAAATTGTTTAAATGCTAACCTTGAATTTTTCTTCTAATCCTGGATCAATGACCACCGTACCACCCACAGCAGAGTAAAAATGTAGACACAACAATAATGAATCGACCACATTGAATCTGTGCGCAAATACAAATCCAGTAACAGGAGGTTACAAATGAAAAATATATCCATAAATTACAATAAGGAGGTTACAATAAGGATACTTCTATTTGACATAAGGTATCATTCCGTTAGATGAAGGAAGACCTTTTGATTTCAAGGTACGACTGATGGATGTGAAGTGCTATGTTATGTTATCGACAGATTTAAATTCACATTATTGCATTGTCATAAAAATCACTCGAATGAACTTGCCTTGATTAACTAAAGAAAGGGTAATGCAAAGAGAATTACTGAAGCTCATATATCGTTACTTTGGATAATATCATGAAAAAATATTGAGACAGTTTTAAGGTCAAATTGTGCGTACCTATTTGAGTCACTTGTTACCAAAGATAATATTCTCTCTAGAAACTTGGATGCATCTTTGCCAAATAGTTCGAGCGTTATTACCTAGTAAACAACAAACTAACGTCGATATCAAAATATTCGATAGAACAACTTATAGATATATATTTTCTGCTGAAACTAAATTATCAATGTTTATGGGCTTAGAAACACATTTTAAAATTGTTGATAAAATTGTTGAGATCATGGCGTCTTTCCAATGAATCAAGCAACTTTGATGATACAGATCAAGCAACTTTGTTTTAAAAAATATAAAAGGAACCTGTTAAAAAGGTATATAGTATTTAAATTTCTAATTCATTCTAGGTGCCACTTAAAATGCTTAAATCAATTTTCGGAGAGTCACGTCCTTCTATAATAATACAGACTTTCAGAAGAAATGGCAACTTTGCAAAGAGACAAGAATGCTTTTTGATTGCAACATGTATCACCAGTTTGATATGATAAAACTTAAAATCAAGCAGAAAAGTTGGGACCTTTTCAGCACTGAGGACCTCATCTCTGTGATCATGGTCAATAGCAGTTAGGGCATTCACAGCAGCCATGATGCATTGCAACACTCCGCCATACTTCTGGAACAGCTTCATGTCCCCTCTGCAATAACACATTATTAATAAATCATGATATTGCTTCTTTAAATGACCAAACGAAATATTGTCTTTGACAGAGTACTCACTTAAAACCAAGCTTTGATGTTTAAAACAGAATTAACAGCCATATGGACCTAAGTGTGACAACTGCAGATGTAAAGTTAAAAGATTCTTTTGTTATAAATAATTACATCAACTGCCAATTGATGATTGTTTTAAGCGTGAAACTTGAAGTTAGGACCCCCTGTTTCAGACACCAAAGCATATATGTGAGTGTTTCTTTAAAAACTTCATTTTGTAAACACATTTTTCATTTGTAGCAAAAAATTGATTTAATGCAAACAACAATTGTAGCAAAAATGCTTACTATTATGGGACTGTGAGCAGCAAATCTAGTTTTTGAAACAAAAGAAGTCACAAAAATTCCAGCTAAATGTTACTCGTGTCATGAAAGTAAAGCCTTAAAGTTTTGTCTAATTGAAAACAAACATATAAATTAAAACCAAGCTAACATGTACCTAAAGAATCCAAGAAGGTGTTTCACTCTTTCCAAAATTGGCCTGTCATCTAAGTCAGTGAATTCGATTTTCTCTTTTTTCAGAATATACAAAATCTTTTTGTGTAAGAACTTCATTGATATCTACAAGAAAAGAAATAACAGATGTGGAGTTAAAGATAAAGCGTAACCAATGAAGCTCTTCAATCTAAAGCAATAATGTTGTATTTGACAATGTTTCACAGGGCCCAGTGTCACCAAGAGAAAAACAGATAGAAACTACATATCACATATGGCAAGAGTATCAAATTTGTCTCATTAAAAAACCCAAATTTACCATTTTTGGCAGCCAATAATCACTGCTGCAGATATAAATAACTTAGTATTCAAATCAAGGAATCCACATATCAAAATTTAAATCTATGGGGCATCATCCTCCACATTTTCATAACAGGCAGAACCCTTATTCCTGCTCACTCAAGTTTACAGAAGCTAGTAATGGTGTTGTGGGGGAGGAGAGATGACACCCTTCCTATGGAGTCACAGACTGGCTTTTTACTCAAGACATTGTTTACTGCTTAATTGGCAACATTGTTGTCACCATAAAAAAGCAAACAACCTAGCAGCCACTCTCCCCATAAAATTTTTCTATTGTCCCCCCCCCCCTCCCCTCCCATGACATATATCGATGGATGGATATAACGAGCTGATGGATGAATGGGATAGATGTCAGTTCCTCAATTTTAATATAGAGGATTACTTGGCAAAGATAGACCTTTAAAAACCTTGGCTAAAATTTTACCTTTGATTGCTCCATCACAAAAGCATTCAAAACCTCTTCAACTTGTGAATCACTTGGATGGGCCAGGCAGCCAGGAAACAAAGTATCTGGAGTTTTGCTGTTTGAGATAAAACACAAAGTTAAAGACAGAATTCTGATAGTAAGTCCAAGCCTAAAATGTTAATAGAAATGGTTTGGTTTTGAAACTTTTAAAAGAAGCTTCTTACTCAAGAAACAACATCTGCCTGGCAACAGTGAGAATTTAGATAAATCTCAATAGGCAGCTGGTATTTAAGTATCAAAACATTGATCATGTCAAACAATGCAGTTACTGGAATTTCTCAATAGAGTTGATAACAATGATGAATTCACTGTGATTTAATCAGAGCCCGTCTTTCGTATTTGGGTAATTGAAGAAGAGGTTGACTCAGCCAGATATGCATGGCCACTTTTCTACCTGTATCATTTATTTCTATTCATTTGGTTAAAAAGGAGATAGGGAGGTTTCTATGCTAATAAGCACAGCTGGCAGATCTTACAGCCTTTAAATGCTTATAATTCAATTCACTCACTTTCCACTGTCAAAGAGCATTTCCATATTGACAGCAACATCATTATGGTGACCAGGTAATTTAAAGAGCACCTCCATTATTGTATCTAGCATGTTATCAGAACCAAAACTTGTTGGTCCCACAAGGTCCAATATTCTGTCAACAAAGACAATTGAGGCCCTTTTGGAGGCTGCCTGGAGAGGAAAACAAGCTCTGAGATAACATATGGTTTGCCAAATTAAAAAGTACAAGATATACAAATTGTTTTTAATCTATAATTCACTTAAGTTTAAAGCCATCACCACTAATGCTCTATTGAGAATCATGGGTGGGTTTATTTTGTCCTTGATGTTCTGAAAGGGAGTGCTTAAATGAGAGAGGGCTTATTAGAAGGGGGCTTGTTCAATAGAATAAATAAAGGCTAAGGTTTGTTTGCTTTCCTACAAGTCTGGATGTTTAAAAGCTTTTAAAAATGACATTGGAATTTAATTAAAAGGTAAAGAAATATGTGAAAATTCAAAATTTTTACACTACATAGAAACTCTGCATATTCTTGCATTTGGCAACCATTTTCTTTGAGGAAATTGGGGACTTGACAGTGAGAATAATGTACTTCAAATTTCTGCTTGGATTGGAGGGTCATTCCCACCAGCTTTTGGTATACTTCCCCTGCTAGTACTGGGAAGAAATAAAAGTATAACAGAAATTCCGAATTATACTGGCCACTTTGTGCCATAGTTTGTACCTTCCTTCTTGCTTTTGCATTTGGCATGTTGGCGAGTTCAGAGGCAACAATCTTGCTAAAATGTCCAATTCCATAACAGTCTTCATGAATGCTCAAATTTTCAAAAAGATCATTGATAGATGATGCTAGCATCTGTTGTGGAAAAAGTAAAACAGTCAGCTCATTCCATAAACAGTCAGTTCATTCCATAAGCAAGGCATCACCTTTCATAAAATTTGATATAGATTTAACTTTTCATCAGAGGTATGATCAAAGTTTGGATGTGAAAAGTTTGATTCTGAGAATGTTGATTTTCAAGATCATAATATGAGAATCGGATGAGAATGATGGAATATTGAAAAAACTGCTACTGAAATGAGTAACAATCAGATGGATATAGATTTACTACAAGTAGATGGAGACATAGCAGTCTTATGCTTTCCTAATTTTTTAACTAAGGCTTGTTTTGAGAAAAATTGTTCAATTGACAATTATATTTTTTCTGTTTCATATAATTATATAAACCTTGCATTGTTTTCTTCAAAGAATTAAACACTACATAAAACAATTAAGATAGTTAGTTTTAATAAGACAAAAGGTAAATGCTAAAACCAAAAAGAAATTCATTTCAACTTTGGTATGAGCATGAAAATTTTGTTCTCTTATTGAATGAGTAACAAATCAATTAAACAACTATATTTTGTGCACACTAAGGAAGCTAAGAGATCACAAATTCTATTCCAGGTGGATTGCCTGAAACATATACTGTTATTCCATGATTCAAATGTTGATGAGCCATGGTACCTTTATTTGAATTTGAAGATTGTGTGGAAGAAGAGCAACATCAATATCAGCAAGACTATTGAACATTCTCTTGTCACCCTAAAAGAAATTACAGCATAATGTTTGTGATGTTTGAAATAGATGACTTTAACAATATTGTCGTAAAAGCAAAATAATGAGCCAAATACATCAACTGATTCCCAATAACTAACAATTTAAAACGCATTGTCTATCTAAACTCTTAGCTTATGTATACAAAAATACTGTCCTTTGCTGAGCTTATTCCAGTGAAACTGAATAGGTGACCTTAACCCCTATGTAGCTGTGTACAATTTATCATGTATGCATAGTATACAATGTGAACAATTCAGTCAAACTAACTGATATGTTCTGAGTAAAATTAACAGACAGTAATATAGACAATGTATCAAAGATGTACCTTGCTGTGTAAGAAGCCTTGAAGTCTTGCAACATCTGATGGCAAGATGGTAGAAGCATCACTATGAATTGGTGTAACAAAAAGGTCTGGCAGGATGTTGGAATGACATAATGGCAAATGTATAACATTTGCAGTTGCAAACTAAAATAGAACAAAAATATCAGTTTAAGTCTGCAGAATTATTTGACACTATTTTTAGAATTGAAGATAACATGAAGTAATTGAATTGTAGATGTTTCTGTTAGGAAGGACCTAGCAAGGAGTTTCCTCAGAAACAAATCTTTAACATATAAACCAAGGGTAATTTCTTTGTTACTTCCAAACACATTTTACAAGTTCTAAACAAGTTCTAAAATGCTGAACATGGTTGGTACAAAATGGTTCTTAAAAGAATAAAATACCTTGGCAAGCAATCCTAAATTACTGAAAATACTTACTTCATTGTGCATCCAAATCTTTAGGGTTCTTGCAACCTCTCCAAATGTGATTACTTTGGACTTACCAAGCTGGTGTTGATTTAATGTAGCAACAAAATCATGTATTTCTGAAGAAACTAACGATATGATAACCAAATGATGAAAATCACTTGACTTTGCAATTTTTTCAATTCTTTTTAAATTCGATCCAGTGAAAAGCGATTTAACAATGAAAACTGCTTTTGTTTCTGAGTCCAGGCACTCCTGTTGAAGAGAAAATATATGAAAATCACTTTATGAATTTTCTGATCATTTAACTTCAATTATCTAATGGCATCAGAATTTTCATAAATTAATTTTCATTCATTGCATTTTTTATCCTTATACGTACTGTACACATCATCTTACATCACTCTTTCTAAGACCCTGTTTATACTGAAGTGTTTCATCCGCATAAATTTTTATCCACATAAATTTTTATCCGTTTAGCTCCTCCATTTACACATGAAACTAAATGGTGAGTTTTTTAACTGGGTATGCGCACAATCTTTGATTTAAGAGAGCGCGAAAATAATTTTCATTGATGTCAGAGTGAACATGTTCATATTTCTGTCTTAAAGTCGACAATGCCAAAGAAATCAGAAATATATCGACGGGAAGTAGCAAGAAGGCTGATTAGAACTTCACATGGACAGAAGAGGAAACTGCTTTGCTGCTCCAAGGTCTTTCCCAGAATCTGCGTGGTCAGCGATTTCTTCTTGAAGCTTTCAGAGTAAGACTTATTCTTTGTAGTTGTGAATTGCTGTCATCAACTATTGATTGCAAGTTGCGTTGGCTAACTCTATAGGATCTCTCAGATAGAGCAGCTAGCAGAGCATTTAGCCTTGTTGCAGCGCTACAGAGCTTAAAAATGCAAACAGAGATAGTATGATGTTTTAAAGACTTTCATCCATGATAGTTCAGGAAACAGCAAAAATGACATGAAATATTAACAAAAGCGTGCCAATTTTTTCTCTTGCGCCGTTTCATTATCATATTTAAATGGCCTCAATATGAAACAGAATAGCCTCACTGTGTATGCATATAAAAATTTATCCGGATAAAACTGTTTACACTCCCCTTTGCCGGATAATTTTCTATCCGGACAAAAATTCATTCACTTTCGTAGCAGGATAAATATTTGTAAGGCAAAGCGGATAAATATCTACACGGATAAAATTTGCTCTAGTAGACAGAGAGCCTATCCGCATAAATTTTTATCCGGATAAAATACTCTGGTGTAAACGGGGTCTAATTCACCCAATAACCATTGTCTCTATTCACCCTCACAATGAAACCATTCTTAGCTGACCAGCCTTTTTCTTTCTTTTTTATATTCCTTGATTAGGTTTGCCAATTCTGTAAAATTACATACACTTTGCAAAGTACATGCCAAAGTACATGTCTTCAGCAGAAAAATACGTATATGAACTGTCTTGCTGCTTATATAATTTGTTTCTCTATGGATCTTGGTTATCTGTTTGTTAAATAAGAATGAAAAGTGGAAACAATTTTGTGGTTTAATGGCAGTATTAATAGAAGGAGCTGCATTTATCATCAAAATCATCCCTCATTTCAATAGAAATATACAAGTTTTAGTTAGGTTCTTGTAAAATCTTGATAAAAGGGGGTGTTTCAGCCCACCAAAGGAAAATAGGTATTTGGAAATATGACATCATTTCCTCTTGATTCTAATAGACCTTGTGATCTTCAAAAACCTTGGTAAATCAAAGGCGGTTTTTCAAAGGAGATTGCCAATCTGAAAGAAAGTCTAGGTTGGGAGTATGAGCCACATCAAGTCGTTTTTTCCATCTTGATCTTCCCAGATACTTTATATACCAATCTTACAATTTCCTTGTTTTGGTTGTGAGTAAAACCATTAACCTCCAGCTCACATAAAATTTAACTAGATTTTTGCCTGAATTTTTTCGCTAAATACATAAAAGACAGACGTCCTGAAACAATCCTTGAATTATCTCTACTTTTATACGATTCAACATCATTCCACTTAATTCTGTAATAAAGGTCAAAATAGCACATAAATCCTACCAACTGATTCAGGAATTTTAGTCTTTACAATAAAATATAGATAAAAGATGTTTGTCCGCACAGCAAAGTCAATCGTAATGACATATCTAGCGTGATATCATGGCTTCAAAGATTTTCACCTTGCTATCATCGATACTTCGAATTGATAATGCCCCCGCAGAAAAAATCTTGTCAACTACATTCATCCAATGAAGGCATTCTGCAGATCCGTCATCGAGAAAGACGACTGCGTTGGCTACCGTTGAAAGAAGCTTCTGCAGAAGTTTGAATTTAAAGTTTTCTGCCATGGCCAATGATCACAGTTCAGTGTGCAACAAGTCGTCCATGTTGATTTCCTCTCATACAAATGTTGCTGCTGTTGTTTTATGTTTTGATGATGACGTTGCGCTTATTTTTCGCAGGGAACAGGGAGGAAATTCAAATCAAACTTGATGTAGAAAACATATCCAAATGATTATGAAATTAAAAATAAGCAATGTTTGGTGTTATAAAATAAATGTTAATGTTTGCTAAAACTAGCTGGTGGGTATCTGTATGTCTGTAATGGTTAGGCCTCGCAGTAAAAGCAAATCTTTATTTGATTTATGTAAAAGTGCTGGAAAACTAACAACGAGCTATGCAGCTAGAAGTAACATAGGCATGACATCTACTTATATTGCTCAATTCCATACAAGGAATTTAAAGCAACTTGCAACAGAAATTTACAAAACTATTCATCACGAAAACTCAAGTTTCACAGAAGATATTTTTAGTATAACTGAATCGCCTTATAACATCAGGGGGCTCACTTTTCCTAGAAATAAACCAAACACTATAGCATACGGATTAGATACTGTATCATACAGATGTCAAGAAGTATCGAACTCAATTGCCACAGAAATAGCTTAAAGCTCAAATAAAAAAACCTTTAAAGCAAGTAGCAAAACTATGTCTGCGATTTCTTGCTCATGCCACATTTGTAAACCATTTATAGGACAAGCAGGCTGCATATATGATAGGGAACCTACTTTACATTGATGTATCTTATCATTTATTCATCTATTTTTGTTGCGTTGTTAAATTTGGTTATTGTTAAGATATATTTAGTTGGTTATAATTAGCATTAGTATAGCTAGTAGTGTACGTTTACCAACTGAAAAAAAAATGAAGAAGAAAAATGTTATTTTGGTTGCAAATTTTCTGAGCAGAGCATATAACGCACACAGTTTAGCAATCAAGAGATGAACTACCGGTAAAGCCTCTTTTATTTGGCTTTTGCCCCTTCTCAAACTTTTTAAGAATTTCTTCCTACATTTCTCAACACTCTGCGGGCCTGTGTTCTGGAGTTTAAAAAACACAATCCAGAAATGTAAAGAATTCTGAAATTGAATTTTCCCGCCAACATTACCTCACGTGATTAATGAATCGTCACATGCAATGAATTCCACACGTCCTTGGAAATCAGTTTGTTGTAGTAGAGCGTGAAACTGTGGAAAGGTGGAAAAAAACGTTAAATGTGAAATGTAAGTATTACTGCGTTGATGTCATTGTAAAAATGTTTTCGGAAGGACTCAGTGACAAGCCTGTTATAATATTTTCATAGCCACTTAAAGTCAGAGTGGATTGCCCTCTGGCCTTCCAAGCTGCAAATAAAAAATTCAAGCAGTTTTAATCTTGTCGAGCTTTTAATCTTCCAAGAAAAACGGTTGGGCCTAATATCGAAATGAACTTAAGGATTTGTTCATATCGCCAGGTAGGTTGACATTTGCTTTTGATGAGGGAAAATATACATGGCCTAGACATTTACGTTTGACGAGATAGGCCTGTTTTGAGGTCACAGGCAATTAAGATGATATTCAGCAGTCAATTGGGACCTAATTACGATTTTATGGGTTACTTAGCAGCTGAGTGAATACTGTGAGCTGCGATTCAAGGCATTTGTATACGTGATTCTGATTAGCTGTTTGGCCTAAGAGATGAATCTATACTTTTGAGTCCTGTTCTGTCTTGGCAACGTCATTACTGATAACACAGTTTCGGTGTTTGTAGTTAATAAGCCTGTCTTCAGAGCCCAGATTGACTTTAGAAGTTATAAAGATAATGCAAAATACTAGGCTTGGCTCTTATTATCAAGAATCTAGGCGAAACCTTGCCATTAATCAACAAATGCCTTTCACTGACTGACAATTTCAATCATGATTTCAAGAAATGGTATGTTCCTCACTCAATCGTTCTGTTCATTTTTCATAGACATTTTTGTTTGGTAAATAAAGTCCATCAGGTTCCTGTATAGAAATGTGTGTGTCTTAATGATTTTCACACTCACAGTGAAATAAAACTTTAGTATTACTAACTTTGAACCTTTGCTTTAAAATTTAATGATATTTATGTTGTATTTGAATTTCCTCTCTCTATAGAAGGCTACTAGAAGTTCTTTGAACAAACCTTTGGTTCAGTTTTACATAAAATATAAATTACATCAACTGTTTACCAGTTTGCAGTATCACAGGCTGTTAGTCACAAGACATCAACATTATAATATATTCATGATTTTATCTTTAATGTATCATTATAACAGGCGAATAGCCTGCATCTTTAATGACCAATGCCTCTGTTGGTGGTTATATTCAAACCTTCCAGATTATACAAAGCCCAGTGATTGTGTCAGACTCTGACATGGAGACAGAAAGATTTGCTTTTGTCATATCTGTGGACGTTGCGTTAAAAGTAGCAGAATCCTAAGTTGTTAGTTATCCTAATGGAATATTCATTATGGGAAAACATATACATAATTTGCCAATTCATTAGGAGCCTTAATGGTGAGTTGTCATTTGCCTGATTTAATTAGTGAAATGTTAGATAACTTAGGTTTTATTGTCAAGGTTTATTATCAAGGTTTTGAATCTGAACTTAACTATTGTCAGGGTTTTGAATCTGAGTTATGTCATCATTGACACAAGTTGCCAATTAATTCTGAATATTTTCAGTTGATATGCATGTGATCTTCCCATATCATTGCTACCACTGTTTTCTTTCAAGAATTTATTCTTTTCTAGATTTAAAATGACTTCAAGGTTTGGTTTCTTGAAACCAGTGGCCAGAAGAGGTATTTATTTGCTACTTTAATTTGATATCTCTCTGGACAAGGTTCCCTGGACAGGCTCTTGAGAATGATATTGTTAATGAGATTTTTATGATGGATTCCAATCTGACAATTATTTTCATCTCTTTTTTTAGTTTATTGAGCCTTGATTTTTACTTTATTTATGGTACATATTAAAATGAAGTTTTTATTACTTTATTGATCCTGTGACATGCTAGTAGACAGGCTGTATTTAATCACATGTCAGCTTGTATTTAATCACTGGTAAAAATTTTCCATGGCCAAGTCAATATATTTCTTTTTCAACTTTAAGGTAATAAACATGTGACAGATGGGCTTGTATGGATTCTAATGTAAACTTACTGTAATTACTCTGGTACCAGAGAGTTGGGTCCTGATCACATGACTAGATTTTAACACATGGCCATGAACATGGCAATCAAGCACTCTGTCAACATTCCCAATTTGCCATGTTCTGTAGGATGGGGAGAAGGGTGGGGGGCTTTTGGTTCTTCTGTAGGGTACAGGTAGAGCTTTGTTTGAACATTGGAAAGTAGCATTGCCACTTTTGCTGTTATATTTTTTTATCAAGTGGGATTCAAATAGATGCTGCTTTAAAAGTTCACCTCTAATTTCTTTTATTAAGGAGAAAACAAAGCTGGCAAACCCAAAGATAAAGGAAGCACCAAAAGCCAAGATTGCCAAAAACAGTGAGTTGTCTTTTCATGTCATTTTAAGTGAATTATTATATAATTATATATCTGTTGCTATTACATCATAATTTTTCATAAGCAACGTGTGCACAATCTGGGGGACTTGGTTGCTTCAACACATCTGGAAATTTTTAGAGATTCAACCCCATCTGACCTATGGTAAAAACTCAAACTGAAGCAGTGCAAAGTCTGAGGACCTGTTTGATACATATTCGTTTTTCTGTTGCAGAATTAGGTTTGTGCCATTAACGCAAGGAATGGCACATTAACGCGTTAACTTTCAGACACCTTTGCAAAATAAAAGATCAGCAGTTTGATTATTTGAGACACATCTTTGATGTCCCCTTTTAAGTTTTTTGCTCAAAATTTTCTTTGACAAGAAAAATGCTTGAAAAAAGACAGAAGACGAAATTTGAATCAATGAACAAGCAAGCTCTTCTAGAGTTACCAGAGACCCCAAAATGATGCAAGTACACTTGCTAGTGCTCAGTCGATTGCCAGCTATTTCCATCAAATTTGGAAAGTTGAAGATAAACCAATGGCAAGAGATTAAGTTACTGCCAAAAAACAAGAAAATGTCTAATGTGCGAAAATATATGACAGTCAATTATTGTGATTTGTGATATTAGAATGTTTTTTATTAGAGCTCACTTAATAAAAACACAAAGGCTTGGTTTTCCAAAAAGTAAGGACCGTGTAAAAACATGTCCAGCCTCAATTTCTCTCCTGTTATATAATCAGAGTACTGTAATGCCTCGAATAAGCGCCAGGGCACTTATTTAATTTTTGAGGCTCCAGAGTGGGTGCTTATTCGAGGGGGGTGCTTATTTAAGAAGTAGATTTGGGTGCAATTTGTGTTATTCATTAATCTTTCTTGTTGAATTGCCTTCTTATTATGTTTTCGTTGAAAATTCGAATAAGCGCCTGTTTCATTCGAGGGTTGGGTGCTTATTCGAGGGAGGTGCTTATTCGATAACTTCCCCTCTAGGGTGGGTGCTTATTCAAGGGGGGGCTTTTATTTGAGGGGGCGCTTGCTCAAGGCATTACGGTAGATTTTATTAGCTGATGAAACGTGCTACTAAAAAAGTCATTCAAAACTGTTACTTTGTGGCATTATAAACAATTTATTTTATTGAAACATCAATTTTTCAATATGAACAATATTAAAAGTTCCCAAGTTACAAAATATTAACAAAAGATCATTGATTCTCGACAAAAATTATCTGATTCTTAAGAAAATAGGTCTAGAAATTAAGCTCAGTCAATAATTCAAAATTTCTGTAACAGGATATTCCATTATGTTGTTTTAGTCAGATTCAGAATTACAAGAGCTTTCATTTGATACCAAAATCTTTGTTGAAGTTGCTACAAATCAGAAGCTAAGAGAATCTGGGTGTGGTCGAAATGCCCCCGATTTTGGAAATTTTGCAATTTTTGACCCGTCATAACTTGAAAACGAGTTGAATTAGAACCAAAAATTTTGGTTGTGAGCTTTTTTTATAGAGCCATGCAAATGAGGTTTTTCTGGGTACACTTGATATGGAATGTCCCTAACGGCTTAAGATAGTTGGGCAGGACTTATCGTTTTGAAGGTACTTGAAGCCAAATATGCCCCCGACTTACGTGTGCGTAGTTTACAAAATCTTTTTTCGCCTGAACGTGTCTTGAAGATCCGATTCCTATCCTGAAGTATGAGCTCTGATGATCTTACTGAGTCCTGCTTAACTCTGGATAGGTAACTCTGAAATGTTTTCGTCTTTTCTATCAAAATGTTCCCAGGCTTTTCCTATTCTTTACTCTCTTTCCGCTCGTGAACTTTAGAGAATAGAAAATAAAACGACGATTACAATGGAGAGACCAACAGTGGGCTTGGCTGCCGTTTTTGTGGTCGGAGTTGAATGAGACAAGCCATGTGATCAATACTTGTTTACCCGTTATCATACAGATATGCTAAATAATGTATGAAAAGTTTCACATGCATTGTTTCCCCCTGCTTGTGTTTTCGTTCTATATAAACACAGTATACGGCCCGGTATGTAAGGCAAACATGACTTAGTTTGCTGCCTGATTAAAAGACAACAGAGAGGACTTGTCTGTCGCCTTTAGTCAATGAAATGAAGAAACTTCGCCAGAGGCTGAACCCGTTGTTTCACAGAGGAAAATACGAAATTTGCCAGTGAGTAGGTTTGGCGATACTTCAATATATTTTAAGGACAACCAACAATGTTTATGATTTCTGATAAGGCTTTAAAATATTTGGTCAGGCTAACTCATTGTGAGAAATAATTGTATAATTGGTCTTTGAAGGTTGCCTGAGCTTGGGTTTATATCAGGTTTCAAAACTTCAACCTTTTAATTATTAAAAAGCAATGCTTAGTGAAAGCTATATTATCAATTTCTTGATGAATTTTTGCATCTGCAGGTTACTTTGGCTGCCACTCCCTTGATTTACGGTCTGTAAATCCAACTTTTTAAAATTATATTGAGAGATGGGGAACATTCTTTTTGCTGAAATTTTCGTTGCCTTGAAGTCAAAACGATGTGTAAGAGAGAATAACTTAATGGCAGTGAGCCATTGTGACTCATCGCTCGCCGTCATTCAGATCACAGAATACTCTGTGTTCAGGTTACAGGTGATTTTTGTCACCTCACGTGAAAATGGTTCCTCGTCATAGTCATGAAACTGTTTGAACCTGATTATGGTAAATGATTAGATTAAAATCCCGAGCCTTTCAAGTCCAGTCTAGTCTATATTTTTTCTTCTATGCATATTCTTCATTCTTCAACAGGTTTCAATCATTCAATAATCTACTTTAGTTACGATGCCTCTTTTTCACTCTTAGCCTCCGTTTCTACTTGTCAGTTAACCCACTGGGTTGGGTGGTTTAACATTTACTATGTATGGTTTGACATTCAACATTTACCAACATGTTTAAATCACAGATAACGCTGTAAACTTAAACAAATCTTGTTAAATTGTTGTCATTAAGATTATATTTCATTTTTTTCCTTTTTTATTTATTCTCGAAGCTATGAAGTGGTCTATTATATAAGTTTTGTTTTCTGTAGGTCGAGTTCTGTTCACTTGGTTGATAGTGTTTTGCCAACTAGCTCACACGAAAATGGCCTAGACGATGCTGGCGGCGATGATACCGTTAGCGACGAATACAGCAATAATAACTCGGTCACCCAGAATGGCAAAAAGAAACTTGAGCGAACATCGAATAATCTTTCAAAATTAGCTGACAAGCTAAATACCGGAAGGTCTAACCAGAATGGCGAGCCTGGAGGTAAACAAGCCCAACCAGCATTTCGGAGACGAGGCAGTTCTAATATTGCAAAGTTGAATACAGGGAACAGTAAGGAACGCACGGGAACCAGTCAAATCCATGGCCAAACACCGTACATGAAAAGTCCGAAATTTGACACAAAGCAACCTGCTGGAAAGCATATACCTAACAGTGGGATGATAGCTCAGCGAGGATTGCCGCGATTTACGGTAGGCTCGAATGTAAAGGGGAGCGCTAGTTCACGTGTCGAGGATGACAAAGCAGCCCCAGGTGCGAACGAGACATTCGAAATCCCGTCTGCAGACGATGCAGGTATGGCTTCTGTTTACAATCCTAGCTTTTGTCATCGTTAATAGCATTGCTATCACTGGATGGTTTTTTTATCGTATGATGTCATTTTCCACCTCAATAAGCTATCGCAATTTAAAATTCAGCTGATTAAAACTCATTTTCCTTGTAAGGAAGGTATTTCTATTTCTCCTGACGTTTCCAGCTTTCTTGTTCAGTGGGCTTGTACAGCATGCGCAAAAGGCATCATTTATGGGGATAATTTTATGATTCAGTCTACAATAGAATTGAAATTGTTAATCATCCATCATTGGGAAAGTTTATACTTCTTACGCTTGTTATTGTTCGTTTGTCTGCTTTGTTTTCGGAAGACATAAAGTTCTTGTACTGTATTTGATTCTCCAGTTGGTCAAATTTATGTAATATAAGTAGGTGAATTGAGATTCCACTAGCAACAGAATTATTCTCTGTTATTTAACATGGGCTTATGAAAAAATTTAAACACTGAATCAGGGTATAAAGAGCAGCAAAAAGTGGATTTTGATGTTTAGTATTGCAATTCATCGTTAAGGATCTGAAGCACAGTTTGGATTGCGTTCAAAAATAGTCAGGCAGGTCATGCTAGCGTGGAGGTTTTCTAACACTTTCTGCAGGTTGTACAGCGCCTCTCTGAAATAAAAATTTCAAAAGATGTATTAATCCATCATATTGCAATTGTTTTAATATCATATGCCATTTTCAATGACGGTCCTTCGACGTGATTATGCAATTCAATTATTTCCTTCTGCCTTTTCAAATTTGTCTAATATATATTTCTTTTTGTCAAATTTGCCGCCTTTTGCATATTTTCATGTTTTGAAAGGCTTTACTTTTCTCAATTTGTCTGCTGCTGATATTGATAAACTCCTCTTCCAGCTTCCCGACCGCTTGCAAATCTGATGTTTTGTTGCTCATCCTCGTTTTAAAACGATTTCTGTTTTAGCAACAGATAAGAGTGCTTCACACACTGGACGCACATCATCTTCGCCAGTGGCCTCAACAGCATCTACGACCAACGTTATTCGAAGGCCAGCGCCTGCCGGGGGTGTTGCGAGATCTGGCATAAGGCCTCCGTCAGGAGCATTTTCTGGAAGTACAAGTGGAGCAGCTATTGCAAGAGCAGAAACAAAAATGAAGCCGCCCACTAATCTGCCACCCCGTGGTAGCAAACAGAATTTGCTCAAAGGAAACAAAGAAGAGCTGCGAAATTCGAGTAGTAAGGGTATTGCTGTAAGGAGGGGGAGCGCACAGGAGACATCTAAGTCAAAAGATGGCAGCACAGATACCTTGAAAGGGCCGGGTGTTGTGACGTCCAGACAGAAAGCCCCTTCAAGGGAGTTACAGACCATGGCCGATAAATTGATATCCTATTCTAGTAAGAAGCTGCAAAGGCCATTGAGCATGTGTTCAGGCTCAGATCTCTTGCAGCCGAAAAACGCGGGGCAAAAAATAGCCCGGAAAAGTATTGGTGGCAGCAATTTGCGGACTGGAAATTCTTCGTCATTGCAAGATCTATCGAGACGGTTGTCTTCTTCAAACCAAGACATACCCAATTCTGAAGCCCGCAGTCGAAAGGGCTCTATGACTTTTTCAGACAAAGATACTCCTATGAGGAAATCTAAAAGCGGTAGTATGAACTCTTTAAACGCTGGCGTTCAAGGATTCTCTGGCCAAAAAGGTCTTGTGGGAAAAATCGCAGCTAATGTTGTGCCACGGAAAATATCAAACGAACTTGCAAAACCGCGCTCTAGGACAAGCTCAAAGACCCTGGGCTCGACAACCTCTGATTTCGGCATAGGGGATGTCACTACAGTGCATTATCAATCGACCCCTGTCAACAAATACGTTGGGTTCGAGATCCAAGCAGCAAAACGAAGCGAGCATCCTTTCGATAATGCCGTAAATGAGGATATTTCCGCTGTCTTTTGCGATGATAATAATGACCTGAAGCCGAGCGATCTGGGATTTACGAATGTTGCTGCCCGTAGAATTTTAAACACAACATTTGATGGTGGCGACAAAAACCGAACATTTGACGCGGTCGATATTCAGAACAGTACTTACTTGAAAATTGAAAAGTCGCCCAATGAAAATGCCACGGTAATTAATAATATCACATTTAGCAAAGATGAGAACCCCGAGGTTGATGAACAAAAAGTCAACAGCTTGCTGGATTCTAACCTCTCCACTGAGTCACAAACACGAACACAAGATGCCTTGAATGTCGAGGAAAATGTCGTTGTATCAAAGCCAGATTCTCCACCGTCAACATGTGCGAAAATTAGTAAAGTTGCGTCAAATTCGCCTGATAAAACATTAGATCTCGGATCAGCAGAGAGCAAGCCGGTTTTCCGTAGAAGCGACAAGAAAGAACCGGATTTGGATGGATATTGCTCGGACAATTTTTTGATGAATGAAAGTATGCCTCATTTGGATGACAGTCTCTTAATGAATATAACCGATGAACCAGATGCTGCTATGTCTTCTTCTCCCTTGGATTCGAATGAAAAGAAATTGTTTAGTTCAAAAGGCAATCAAAATTTCTCTAAGACGGAGCCTCATAATGTTCCGCTTCCAAAAACCGCCTCTCGGTCTTTAGAATTTAGTGAACCGATTGAGAGTTCTATTGAAAAAAATGACGATGCAGCTGATGTGTTAGCTACAAGTTTGGTGAATGACAGTTATGATGTTATAAAATTAGAAGATGCGACTGCCCCGGGGGATAATTCCATGCCCGGAACAAGAGATGGAAATAAAGAAGTTGTTTCTGAAAGAAAAACTAAAGAAATTGAAAAATATGCTCATGACACGAAGGATACAAGTGAAGATGGCCCTGTTGATATTTGTGAACAAAACAGGAAAGAAACTGTAGTAGACAACGACAACCCTCCGTCAGCGGACATTGATGAAGAGCGGAAACCGTTGGCAGCAAACAGATTTCAAATACCAGTGCCTGACCATGATTTGCAAGAAAACGAAATGAAGTCACAGCAAGTTGATGCTGAGAATGTTGATCAGAGGTTCTTGTCTTTGCTGTCCCAGACTGTTGAGACCTTCCTTGGTGACACCATAGGCAACGATAACACTGTAAATAACCACGGTGGCTTAATAACACCGATAGACTCAGTAGAATCAAAACATATCGGTGTTTCCTCGCTGCCACCCAGTCAAATGAAAATCGCTGCTAGGCGACGCAGCCTCATCAGAAGGAACACTAGCCCATATGCGACGTCATCTGATTCTCTGAGTCTAGGAACAAGTTTTCGGATTCCAAGAGAAGCCTCGATTGCGGAAATGGAAGACGGCAATGTGATGATAGACGAGGCTACGTTCCGACATTGTCAAAATGATGTTCGGATAATGAAAACGAATTTGTTGAGGCTGAAGAGACTGCTAACGGAGGTATTATTATGTACCATTACCGCTAGCTAGCTTTCAGTCTTTGCTTTTTGACAACTCGGCCAATTGATCATTGGCTTATATACAATTTCCCTATTAAAGACGCACTTAATTAGAGTCTCCTCCTTCTTCTAGACAGATATTATGTCACCCCTGATGAAACATCCAAGCAAATTTGGCATATCGCCTCCCGTCACACCAACAAAATCAGTTTTGGTAAGAATATAATCTCCATTCTTGTTTGCCATTCGCTTTGTATCTAAAATTTCTGTATAAATCATCTGGTTTAATTTAAATTTTCTGTCATTCTTAACATTTGTCTGGTAATTTTCAGCTCAGCAGAAGCTTTTCCGATGCAAGTAGTTGGCTGGCAAAGAGCAGGAAAACACCGGATTTTTTGATAAACAAGACAGATGAAGACAAAGTGGAAGACGAAATAAAGGAAATGAAAGAAAAGGTCACTCTTCTGGAAAGGGTATGTTAGTACTATGAATATGCAGAAATACCTTTATAGTATGTTTTCCGGATGTTTCCTTGTGTTCAAGATATAAGGAAGGAGCATAATAATACGAGTGGGACCTCAGCACGAAATCAGTCTCAAGATAACAATAAATCAAGAACTAAGTCGCTGGGCCTTCCTAGAATGAGCTTATTTTTATAGCTCACCCTAAAGCCACTCAAATATAGGAAGGTCTCTAGTCTTACATTTACGTATATATACTTTTATATTCCTTTAATGCTGCAAAAAATATCTTAATCTTTGTTGCCTGCTTATTTCCTTTTTTCTCTTACAAATATTTCATCATTGGAAATATGAATTATTTTTTACTTTCTTTTTTTATTTTAGGAAAACGAAGAATTGAAGCATGATTTGGAAAGCAAAGATTACACAATTAAGCTTTTGCAAACTCAGCTGGTATTTTTTTTAATTAAATATATACTTCTTATTTTGTCGAATAAACTTCATAATTGTTTGCACAACGTTTCAAAGGTGTTTTGTATTAAAGTAGCACTGTTTGGTTCTTTTTATAAATTGTAGATTGCTTTAGACAACAACGTTCTTATATATTCTCGAATTTCGTAAATTTTGGTTTTAAGCTTGTTAATGTTTCGTAAACTTGTTAGATATTTGCTAGTCAAAGTCATAAGCTGTTGAAAATTAAGAGTTGTTTAATCAAACCAGCCAGCAGAATCATTTAAACACGTGTCCCGGAAGTCCACTGACGACATACAAGGGATGGGTAGGAACCTGAGATGTTTATGCCACTTGTATACCACTAGCATCAAGTAAATCTGCTGTACGAAAGTCAATGTCAGTCTGATCTGTTAACGAAAATTCATAGCAACTTCAAGTCAAATAAAGATTTCGTCTACATCAAATTCATCATCCAAGTTTATAACTGAAAGATGCAACTTGGGACTATTCTGTGCCACACACCAAATATCTACAGGCTTGCCTATACGGCATCAGGCTCTATTCAACAGGCAGTTTTCGCCTTAAACAGCTTCTTGTCGTTTAAGCAAGTTGTTGATTGCCATTTTTATAGGTGTAGATAACAAACAACGTTTGTCTTTGTTTCTTTACAGGAAAATCAAGAATATTCAAAGCAAGTTGAGCTGCTGACGGAAGAAAAAAAGATGCTGCATAAGGAACTTGAAGAGTTAAAGGTCAGCTTAAAACTTGAAAATTTAAATTGACTCTAAGATTTAATTTACTTTTGTCATTGGCTAGCTAAAAAAGGAGATAAGAACGATCTTTTTCTTCGGGTTGTTTCATTGCTTAATTAAATTTTTTATTATGTTTTTTTCATATCGAAATCATATAAACCAAATTTCTTCATTTTTTTCTTTATTTTAGGAAAAACTAAGCGAAGAGCTTGGTTCCACTGTAACCAGGTAAATGATCTTTCTTTAAATTATTATCTTTGTATTTCATTGCGATTATCTTTTGTGACTGATTGGAAAGATAAAAATTTGTGCGACCATCTCCACCCTGAAAGCTACCGAGGCAAAGTTGAGGAGAAAATTTTCATTTATTAAAGAAAAAATGTCTTTCTCAGAATGAAAGCTACCCCTTTTCCTCGTGTCCAAACGAAATTACTTGTCAACTTTCCTCCACTAGTGAGACGTTTGGACAGTTTTTAAGATTCTATATATTTTGCTTTTATTATATTTTATCTTTGATGCTTTTATTGTATTATATTTGTGATATTACTAACAAATTAAAGCCGTTACATTTTTAAGCAGCTTCATTCAAATTTTTTTCTATACCATACCATTTGGTAACCTTACACTCTGATAATGACCGTGTTGCGAAATCAACGATTGATTTTAAAATACCGTTCCCAACTCTAACAGAAGCTAAAACCAAAAGTTCCACAATAATCAACTTGCTTTTCTAATAACTGGAAAAGCTGATCTGATTTACGGACTAGCCTACTAGCGCTTTTACATAAATTACATTTTCATGATTCAGAATAATATTATGTTTTGAAATAATACAATTACTGGCCCAGAGTCAGTCACATCGTGCAGGCACAAGATCATCTGCTTGAGAGCCATCATTTCCTCGCATGAGTTCTCGCAGTGCATGTCTTCCTAGAGTTGACTGCATACCCATTCACTCAGCATTGTGTTTAATTAATCCTTCACAGCTACGAATACGAGTGCCTGAAGCAACCGCAAAGCGCCAGCAAGATCAAGGCTGAAATCGTGAAAGCTTACTATGAACAAGCAGATGTCTAGCTCGCCAGTTCGCTGCACCTGTTTTAATTTGAATTATGCTGCAATGTTAATTGTTTTCTAGGGAAGTTATCTGTTTGATAATTTTGTATTGGTTTTAATTGCAAAAAATTTAGAAAAATTAATTGAGAATTGATAAATATATTTTGTATTTGATGAAGGAACACTCGAAAGAAACGCTATTTTTTGTTTGTTCACTGTTGTAAGGGGGCGCTGTTTCAAATGATTCACATGATGTGAAGCAAAATTGTACGTTCATTTTAAGTCCTTGAAAGACTCTTTATTCGATTCTTCATTCGATTTCAAAGTCTAGTCAGTAAGCTATCTAACTGCCTGCTCCGGATTTATTATTATTATGTCGAACAAGGCTAGCTGTCACATGGTTGGTAAAGAATTTTAGATCTAAAACGCTTTTATAACAGAATTTAAACTCTTGAAATTATTATGACATTCCTTCTAAATTGGCACTCATGCACGGAGGCATACGTTCAGAAGGGGATGGGGGGGGATGGGGGGTGGCTTCCACGAAACCGTACGATTGTATACATGGATGGAAAGGATGTTCAAGGGTCTAAAACAAGATCCTCTAAGCAGCCTTTGATGCTAAATTTTTGAATAATGAAAAAAAATGTTTACCGGTCTACCATTAAGTGCTCGATACCCTATAGGCAGAAATGTACAGACTGCCTGGTGATCGCATTAAGCGTGAAACTCGGAGTAGAAACAAAGAACCAGATAGCGAATTTTTCAAGTTTATTTGAAGGATGTTTTCTGAACCTTCTCAGAAACAGAGATTATTATGTATTGTGTCTACACTTCTATCGCCCTTTTAATTAGGAATTTCAAAGAAAATCGTATTTGGCTAGAACTCAAGGTGTCACAAGGATCCTGTTTGAAGTCCTCAAAAACCCACTTTTTCATCAATTATAAATTTTTTACTAGGAGTGTAATTGAGATTTATCATGCAAATTGTAGTTACCTGAAAAGGTTGTCGACGGGAGAATAGAAGATTGGAAAAGTGCTTCGAATCCCTTGACATTTTGCTTTGGAAAATAAATTGTCTGCAGTAAATTTTAAAATTGAATTATGTGAGCATTGACTTGAATGAAAAACAAAATAAGTTGCTTCATAATTTAACATTGATTGAAAAGAACTTCCAACCAACTTTTTTAAAATTTCGTCTCACTTCAAAAACTGAAACCCCTCTCTAGAAACCCCTGTGTCTAAAACGAAACATAATAAGTCTTTAATGTCAGTCGTTAATGTTTCTACTTGTGCGATAATTTTAATTTTAATCGAGTAATTTAAGAACATTTGATGCAACTGGTCCTTAATTCCTGATGGACGTTTTAAGAAGAGGACAGGGCCGTCGCGAGGGGGGTGTGGCACCCCCCCTCTTTAGAAAATTCTTGTCGGCAAATTTTCTAAAAGTAGAGTTTTGTCGGGTTTTGCTTTCAAAGTTCCCAAAGCAATAGCTTTAGCGAACAGTTGGGATAAGATGAGGATGTGACCTTAAAAGTATTGCCCAAAAGCCCTCAGCAATTCAAAACAGGAAAAGATAGCGCTATGGGTGTCACGGAGGGGCAAATGTCCTCCAAAAACTTCAAATGACTCCAGGGCGACCCAATTTCTACCTAAAATTTGGGGTTTAGGTTAGGGAAGGGTCAAGGTTTATCGAAAAACTCTGAACGTTGATCCTGGAGGTACTGGAAGCCACTGTAAGCAGGGGAAGGGGGCAAAGTGCCTCAGGGCTTTGAGGTCGAGGGGGCCTCAAGTAGTAATGAACTCCATTTTAAGAATGAAATCAATGAAACGTAGGTATGCCTAAAAATAGTTAAAAGTTCTAAACGATTGCAAGAAGTAACTGCAAGAAATATTCTGAAATGTATTTTAAGACAATCGAAAGGGCGTGGTCGCAAAAATTTCCTCTTCTTTCGGTTTTGTTTCAAGGCCTTCGAAACCTAAGCACCCACAGTCACTCGCAAATTGAGGCGATGTTGACTAACGAGAACATCCTCTTTGATAAACAAAATCAATTGCGCCAAAATGCCACACCCCCATATTGAAGTATCTTAGGCCACGCCCTATTTTGCCGGCAAATTCGTGACTGGCACCCCCTTAAGTGAAAGTGCTTAGCGACGGCCCTGGAAGAGGGGTGTTATGATAAAAGCCATCAAAAGGCTTACTTGGTAGAGATAGCGCAAAATTTTTATTTTGAAGAGATCAAGTAAACCAACAATTATGACTATTATATTTACAGATATCAGGCCAACCATTATGAAAATCATCTTCACCACTAACGTATAAAAAAGACAATTTTTCGTCCGATTCTTTACAACTTTGACTGTAATCAAAAACACAAAGTTAATCTAAGCTGCAGTCTGTCCTGGACCTGGGATACAATTCTTTGTTTTCTGTTATTCGGTTAATCGACCTGTTATTAAACGCCACATCAGCTATCTCCATTCCCCAATTGACGTTAGTTTTCAGTCAGATAAACCTTATAGCTAAGTTAGGGAAACTTTCCACCAATACCCCCCCCCCCCCCGATAACATCTTGATGAATAATAACACGTGAACCGCAAAGGAAGGCAAAGAAACGTGAACGACACTGCGCAGGAGAGCCTCGTTTACCTCTGTTTAGGCCTAATTTTATGTGGCCCAAGTTCAACAGAAATTTGAAATCTTGTCTAACCGGTTTTTGATACACGTATGGGTGAGGGAATGTTATGAAGTTTACCAATTAGTCTACGAATAATTGAACTTGCAATGAAAGCTGTTATGAGTTGTGCATGTGTCTCTTCGACAACTGCAGATGGATTTTGATAAAGAGCAAGAACCAATAATACGAAGGTGGAGGTGCTTTGCCAAGCGACCAAGCATCACAGTCATGATGGTTGCCGTAAGTTTCTGTTTCATAATTATTTTGTGTGCATTTAGTTTTTCTGGATTAGGCAATAAATCGCAAGCTGCAAAGCGCTTTTATGCACATAAAGTAACATTTTCGACCAAAACACCATACAAATACGAAGAAAACACGGATGTGGTCGTTGAAAAACCTGAGGGATGCAGAGCTACTCAATTGAACATGGTGTTCAGGCATGGCACAAGATATCCGAGTGAAAATGATATCATTAAAATCGACAAAATGCTCGGAGTTTTAAAAAGCTTTCAACATAATGAAGAGTTTGTTAAAGCATTGTCAAAATTAAATGTAACGTTGGAGAATCCATACAAAGTAAATTTAGAAAAAGACTTAACAACTGTTGGTGATAATGAATTGTACAATATTGGTAAGAGATATCAACAAAGGTTTCCTGAGCTACTTGAAAGTAACTTTAGGGTAAATGAATTCAAATTTAAAAGCACATGTAAAGCTAGATCAAGCCAAAGTGCATATGCCTTTGCTCTTGGTTTTTTGGAAGGCCATGGATCAATTGGTAATGACAAGGTCCAGCCTGTGCCAATAGAAATAAACCCTTGCAATAATGACAGTTCCCTACGTTACTATGATCTATGTACCAAATATCAGAAGCGGGTTGAAGATAATGACACTGCACTTATTGAAGAAACAAAGTTTATGTCTGGGAAAGAGGTAGATGGGGTTGTCAAAAAAGTGAAAGCCTATCTTCAGTTGCAAAAAGAAAAAAATGTAACATCAGCAGAAGTTAAAATGATGTATCTTTTGTGTGCCTTTGCTATTGGCATATTGGACCAGAACATTAATAATGGATGGTGCAAGCTTTTTGATGGAGAAGATTATGATGTGATGGAATACATTCTTGATTTGAAGTCTTATTACAAAAGAAGTTCAGCATACAAAATTACGTATGAAAGTAGCTGCCCACTGCTTCGAGAGATTCTGAACTTCATGAAAGCTAAATCTGAAAAATCATCAGAATCGGAATTGTTTAGAGGCATTTTCAGATCTTCACATGCAGAAACTGTAATACCATTATACGCCTTGATGGGACTGCTTGTTGACGAAAGACATCTTCTTGCCAGCAATTACAATGAAATGAAGAACAGGGAATTCAAAGGAAGCAGAATAGCACCATTTGCTGGCAACCTTGCTATAGTGTTATATGAATGCACAAACAATACTCATAAAGTGCAACTGTATAACAATGAAAAATTGATGAAACTACCATGTTGCAAATCATCAATTGATTGCCCATTTGAAGAATTTAGAAGATGTTATGAAAAAATTGCCACAGATTGTAATTTAAAAAGTTTGTGCAATGTTAATTCCACAGCAACTCATGATGAGCTCTAGAAAGTATTGTAAATTATTTGCTTTCTTAATTTCCTCTGTTAGAAACATAAACATGAGTACAGGATGTAGTGAAATAAATTCATTTCAGTTAAATTTTTTAGTAACTCATCATTATATTTATTTGAGCAAGGATTTCTTTGTGAAATTAAGGACATTTGTGATTTTGAGTTTATTTTGCTTTTTGAAATGTAATAATGGATCAAGATAGATAGAAGAAAATGTACTTTTTGTCTGCTCATGAATTGTTTTCACATCTGCAATGCCAAATCAACCTATGTTATTTAGACGTTTCAAAATGTTATGTTATCAAAATTTTAAACATGTCCTTTACCAATATGTGTATATGCTATTCTAAATTTATGCAGCATCGAACTCTTGTTTTTGGGATTTCAAAAGGGTTTTCTTGTTGTTTTTGCAATCAAAATAAAAGGTTAAGTGAACTGTCTACTTTAAGGTTCATGAAAAATTTAGTGATAAGTGTGGTTTGATATGGGTTACAGAGATCAACAAAGTTACAAGAGATTGAGGACAAGTTTGTTTCTCCTCTGAGATTTCTTCCCTTGTCTGGGCCAGGTGCAGGTGCCTATTCTCTACATGGACAGAATTTTGGCTAAGTCGCTGTCAGCTGCTAGCATTCTTTGTCTCACACATAGCTCTATTACAGCATAGTCACTACTCAGCCTCATCTCTTGCAAATCTCTGTTCTTGTTTCATTTCATCTCATTCCCCATCTTCCTCTTCATCCGGTTAAAGCCACTTCAGCAATCGTTACAGAGTCATCACTTCTCTCTTTTTGCATATGCTCATGTAGTCTCTTCTTCCAAACATTGTTCATGACATTTCCCACTTTTTTTATGTCTTAACTTTACTTTTTGTTTCATTTACTCACTTCCATTATCCTTCTTATGCTCTTATTTCTGCTCTTTGAAAATTTTTCTCTTCCTTTGTGGTTATGGTCCAAGATTCTGATCTTTGGGCCATTGTTGGTACTTTTATTGTCCCAATTGTGCAGAGGTGTTCTGCTAACCATTATTTTTTCTCTCCATGCCATTTACCTTGATTCTCTTTGCCGCTCCTTTCATCTTTTATATACTTCTTCCTAGGTCCTTCCTAACATCACTGGTCCCATCCAGAGCTTCCACTTATAGAAAGCAACTCAAAGCTGATTCTTTGTATTGAGCCCTTCGGTTTCTACAGAGAGTTTCTTTACCATTGTCCATGCCTTTTTTATCGTTGCTTTCTTTTATTGTATTAGTGCGCCAGGGATTTTCCTTTCTGAAGGTACTAATACACCAGGCATTGGGGCTCTCTGTCATGGGCCTAGGTTTCACCTTCTCCGGGAACGTTTCTGAGGCCTAAGAAGTGATTCAAAATGGACCAGCTTATTTGTCAAACCTATTTAGAACGTTTTTATCAGTTTTGAACTGAACAATTTATCATTGAAAATTGTTTTTTTACAAAAGCTGTAGGCTTGGTATTTTGCCAAAAATTGGTTGTTTTTCGCAGGAAGATTTTTGTTCGAAAAATGCTTCGAGAAAGATTTTAAATAGATATAGCCTTACTTATTTTAAATAGGCTATAGCCTTACTTTTTTGTCAAAAATCGTCCTTTTTCCTGGGAAGTTCTTTGCTCTAGAAGTGCCCAAAAACTGTTTTAAATTGGTTTTATGTGTTTTTTAAAGTGATTTAGAACCCTTATGATCATTTTTGAAACGAAAAAATTTTGCTCAAAAATCGTCATTTTCCCAAGGCTATAACCTTACTTTTTTGTCAAAAATCGTCCTTTTTTTCCTAGGAAGTTCTTTGCTCTAGAAGTGCCCAAAAACTGTTTTAAATTGGTTTTATGTGTTTTTTAAAGTGATTTAGAACCCTTATGATCATTTTTGAAACGAAAAAATTTTGCTCAAAAATCGTCATTTTCCTAAGGCTATAGGCTTACTTTTTTGTCAAAAATCGTCCTTTTTTCCTAGGAAGTTCTTTGCTCTAGAAGTGCCCAAAAACTGTTTTAAATTGGTTTTAGGTGTTTTTTAAAGTGATTTAGAACCCTTATGATCATTTCTGAAACGAAAAAATTTTGCTCAAAAATCGTCATTTTCCTAAGGCTATAGGCTTACTTTTTTGTCAAAAATCGTCCTTTTTTCCTAGGAAGTTCTTTGCTCTAGAAGTGCCCAAAAACTGTTTTAAATTGGTTCTAGGTGTTTTTTAAAGTGATTTAGAACCCCTATGATCATTTTTGAAACGATAAAATTTGCTAAAAAATCGTCATTTTCCCAAGGCTATAACCTTACTTTTTTGTCAAAAATCGTCCTTTTTTCGTAGGATGTTGTTTGCTCTAGAAGTGCACAAAAACTGTTTTAAATTGGTTTTAGGTGTTTTTTAACGTGATTTAGAACCCTTATGATCATTTTTGAAACGAAAAAATTTTGCTCAAAAATCGTCATTTTCCCAAGGCTATAGGCTTACTTTTTTGTCAAAAATCGTCCTTTTTTCCTAGGAAGTTGTTTGCTCTAGAAGTGCCCAAAAACTGTTTTAAATTGGTTTTAGGTGATTTTTAAAGCGATCTAGAACCCTTATGATCATTTTTGAAACGAAAAAATTTTACTCAAAAATCGTCATTTTCCTAAGGCTATAGCCTTACTTTTTTGTCAAAAACCGTCCTTTTTTCCCAAGAAGTTCTTTGCTCTAGAAGTGCCCAAAAACTGTTTTAAATTGGTTTTATGTGTTTTTTAAAGCGATCTAGAACCCTTATGATCATTTTTGAAACGATAAAATTTTGCTAAAAAATCGTCATTTTCCCAAGGCTATAACCTTACTTTTTTGTCAAAAATCGTCCTTTTTTCGTAGGATGTTGTTTGCTCTAGAAGTGCCCAAAAACTGTTTTAAATTGGTTTTATGTGTTTTTTAAAGCGATCTAGAACCCTTATGATCATTTTTGAAACGAAAAAATTTTGCTCAAAAATCGTCATTTTCCTAAGGCTATAGGCTTACTTTTTTGTCAAAAATCGTCCTTTTTTCCTAGGAAGTTCTTTGCTCTAGAAGTGCCCAAAAACTGTTTTAAATTGGTTCTAGGTGTTTTTTAAAGTGATTTAGAACCCCTATGATCATTTTTGAAACGATAAAATTTGCTAAAAAATCGTCATTTTCCCAAGGCTATAACCTTACTTTTTTGTCAAAAATCGTCCTTTTTTCGTAGGATGTTGTTTGCTCTAGAAGTGCCACAAAAACTGTTTTAAATTGGTTTTAGGTGTTTTTTAAAGTGATTTAGAACCCTTATGATCATTTTTGAAACGAAAAAATTTTGCTCAAAAATCGTCATTTTCCCAAGGCTATAGGCGTACTTTTTTGTCAAAAATCGTCTTTTTTTCCTAGGAAGTTGTTTGCTCTAGAAGTGCCCAAAAACTGTTTTAAATTGGTTTTAGGTGATTTTTAAAGCGATCTAGAACCCTTATGATCATTTTTGAAACGAAAAAATTTTACTCAAAAATCGTCATTTTCCTAAGGCTATAGCCTTACTTTTTTGTCAAAAACCGTCCTTTTTTCCCAAGAAGTTCTTTGCTCTAGAAGTGCCCAAAAACTGTTTTAAATTGGTTTTATGTGTTTTTTAAAGCGATCTAGAACCCTTATGATCATTTTTGAAACGAAAAAATTTTGCCCAAAAATCGTCATTTTCCCAAGGCTATAACCTTACTTTTTTGTCAAAAATCGTCCTTTTTTTCCTAGAATGTTCTTTCATCGAGAATGGCCCAAAAACTGTTTTAAATTGGTTTTATGTGTTTTTTAAAGCGATCTAGAACCATTATGATCATTTTTGAAACGAAAAAATTTTTCTCAAAAATCGTCATTTTCCTAAGGCTATAGGCTTACTTTTTTGTCAAAAATCGTCCTTTTTTCCTAGGAAGTTGTTTGCTCTAGAAGTGCCCAAAAACTGTTTTAAATTGGTTTTAGGTGATTTTTAAAGCGATCTAGAACCCTTATGATCATTTCTGAAACGAAAAAATTTTGCTCAAAAATCGTCATTTTCCTAAGGCTATAGGCTTACTTTTTTGTCAAAAATCGTCCTTTTTTCCTAGGAAGTTCTTTGCTCTAGAAGT